AGTTTCTTCAGGATTTTCTAGTTGTTGCTCTAAATGCTGAAGAGTATAAAATTCATCTTCAGTAATAAAATCTGTTTTCAAATTATAGGCTGTATCTGAATCATTAGTAGTATTAGTATTTGTTTGGTATATTTGTTGAAATTGATTAATATTTTTCTTAATGCGGTTTAAAATATTTTTGTTTTGAGAAATATGTAATCAGATACAAGAAAGTTTTGTTGCTCGATCATTTGTTAATCTATTACATTTTAAAGTATGAATACCTGCCATTAATAACCAAAATTATTCACTATTAGCAGATGTAGGTAGTATTGACATAAGCCATGCTGCAAATATTGCTAATTCTGGAACTTCATTGGTAAAATTATTCCAGAAATAAACAGGATCCTTAACTAAATAATCATTCCAATTTTCTTCAAAATTAAATGAATAAGCTTTGTTGTTCCAGTCAATAAGTTGTATCCGAAATTTTAAAATATCTTTATCTGAAAATAATCGGCTAAATAAAGTACTAGCTTCTTTTTTAACAAAAGTTTAAAGTTCTGGATGAATAACTTTTGCTGAAAAATATTTTGGATGTAATAACCAGCTAATTAAAAATACTAGATTATAAATCCTTTGCCAACAATATTTAATTTGAGATATAATATAATTTTGAAAGTCATCATAAATTGTATAAGAAATTTTTTGCATTCGACATTATAAGTAAACTGTATTAGCAATTGTTGCATATTGAGATTCCAAAATAATAGGTACAAGAGAATATAATTCCAAAATTTGAATAATCATTTCTAATTGATTCCAAAATATATCATTTTTTAAAATAGACATAATTTCACTATTATTTGAAAGAAATTTTTTATATATCATTTTTTTTAAAAATCGTGATTTGTCTTGAATTTGTTTTAGAGATATAAAATATGAATTCCATTGGGTAAGTGTTGGAAGAGAAAACTGAAAAGTATTATCACAAGCACGATCATGAATAAATTGAATAGCTTGTGTACTTTTTCGAAGATAGGTGATAAGTTTTAATACTAAAGTGATAGTAGATTTCATATATATGTGTTTTAGCATATCATCAACTAAAAGATTTGATTTATAAGCTACACATGGTAATGCTAAAATTTTTGGATATTGCTGTACTAATATTGTTTTTATTTGAATATAATTAGCTGCTCTATCTGTAATAATTGCACTAATTTTTTAATTCCAAGTTCTGTTATAACTTCTACTAAATCGTGAAGAATTGTTGCTGATGTTTGACTTTTACCATGAGTATCTTTTACTTTAATAAGTTCAGATTTTCTATTTTTACCAATTGCAATATAATTTACAAGATGATCCTGATGGATATTTGTCCAGCTATCTGTTGCTATGGTAATCCAATCTGATTTATAAATAAATTGTTGAATTAATAATTGAGCATTATCATATATATTATCAAGAATATGGCTTGAAAGCTGTTTTCTTGCTGGCAAATAATATTGAGAATTTATCGAATAAATAAATTCTTTAAATTTCTGTGCATCAACTAGAGAAAGAGGTGCCCCACCCTCGATCATGCCTTCTAGTAATAATTGATTAGATTTATATGAATCTAATAAAAATTGATTATTATTAGACATTGTGACTGTTAAATCTTAACTTGAAATTAAGGTAGAATTGATTAATATATCCGATGATAATCATGAAAATTCTAAACTTTTTTGTATATTGTTTTGCTAATTTTGAAATTCTTGTACTTTAATAAAATAGATTTGAATATTTAAAGGAATTTTTATACACTTTTTAATATGCACCCATTATGATAGCAGTTCTGGATATAGGATTTTCATGTTTACAAAAAATGCATGTGGCTTTAGTTTTTTTATCAACTTTAATAGGATTGAATGCTTGCCAAAGAGGGCCTAAAGGATGACTATTACATTGACTTGGAAGTATACAAAATAAGTGTTGAATTTCTGAACCAGGAGCAGTCCAATTTAGTATAGTAAGAATTGTTACAAGAAAAAAAAAATTTCAAAAAAAAATTTAAATTTGTTTTATAATTATTAAGTATGTAATTACAACATCATAATTAGAAATACGTATTTTAAATCAATTCCTTATAACTGACGCAAATGTGAGGTTAATTAATATTTGTTATCAATTTTCATAAGTAATTGCTATTAATACTAATCTAATCAATAAGTAATTGCTCATCACTAATGGTGATACTTGATTATAGAGAACATGTCACGATTAGCTTTTATATGGTTGATTTTTGGGATATCGTTTAAGAAAATTTTAAGAGAGAATGTATAGAAACTAGAATGTGTTATACTTTCATTTTAGCTTAGCTTAGGGAATAGTAGGATATGACTCAATAAAATTTGGAGTAAACGTGGTCTCTAAATCATTTTAACATCCCAAATTTGCATGCTATACAATTTATAGCTAAAAATAGACAGAAGCATAAATTTGATTACCATAATGCTAATGTACCTATCTATTTTGTGCCAGGTTATATTGATTAATATAATATGATATGCAGTGTAACTATTGCCGATAGTACCGGTACATGCAAGGTAGATAGTAAATAAACTTTCAGATTAGTATATACATATCAAAAAAAAAAAAAAAAACTATATATACTGCAATACTGCAATACTGTACGTATATACAACTAACCATTCAAAATTCAATATAAATAGCAATTTATATAACTATATAAATATAATTTTATATAGCCGGTATAAACCTTCATATTAACCAAACATGTTTCACATTTACTACTTATGATGTAAATTTTTATATAGCAAATGTTCTTAGCCAATATGGTATAACAATCTAAATAGAAAAAATTCTAGTCACTGCATATTCGCTATAAGATTAATACCGAATATTCACAGCTTGGAAGACGATATGTAAGATTGAACTTTTATTGAATTTGAGTTTTAGATTTTAAAAATTTATGAAGAGCCGCATACATATTGAAATACTAATATTTTTAGTAATTTTGACAATTCAAATAATTACTATCTTATGATTATATATTAAATTTATTCAATAAAACAAATAAAATATTAGATGCCTTTCATATAATTATATAAATTTTTTATACACAATTGCTAAAAATATATGGCAAATAAATCCTCTTGTTAATTTTTTTTTTTTTTAATATTATTTTAAAAGAATAAAAAATTTTCATTCAATTATAACTTCATACTTGTAAGTTTATATAGTCATTAATATCTTTATTCCTATTTGTCTATCCCTGAAATATTATTATTATATTGAGATCAAATATTATACCATTAATTCAAGGTATTATTGGAAACATTTTTGCACAAACTATGTTTAGTTTTATTTATTTTTCGCACTTTTCATTTGGGAATTTCTTGTTGATCATTCTCTTTATCTATATATTTAATGTTTGTTCTTCTTCATTTCACAGATTCAGGTTAAACTCGAATCATTGTACCACTTTTGATGCATACCAAGGGATCTAGGTTATATCTATGATCATAAAGAAAAGTAGTTACACAACCAATTGATCGTGATTTTGCGGCTTTGTATTGTTCGGCAAACTTATCAAATGCTATTTGTAGTTGTGTACCACAGGTCTTATAATCATTTTTGATTTCTTGCAAAAAATCATTAAAAGATTAACCATCAAAGTCTACTTCCTGTTCACTAACATAATCAATTTTAATAATACAAAGTTGATATAAAATTTTATCTTTTCTGTAAAAATTATAAAGAGATAATGATAATATAGTAATATGATAAAGTTAAAACAAACCTAAATTCCTTATCCATATCAATCTCATTATTTTTTATTGTATTAGAATCGCCATTTTCATTGTCTTTTGTAGTATTATTTTTGAATAAAGCAGGTTTTGTGTATAATGATGCATAAAAAGAGCAATCTTTCACATGGAGATCTAAAAAAATTATTGCAATATTACTGTATGTATATGTATATATAACTTTTATTATACAAATACCAACTGCTTGCAATATATAAAAAAGTCGTATGATCATTGGGCATTAATAAAGGTAAAAAGTAAATAATTCTAATGTGATATTTCATTGCAACAGCACCTTGGTGCTTACACGATACACCTGATATTCCAATGGGACAATTACATATTCTGATAGCACTATTTACGTTATAAATAAGACCTGTTTCTTTTCTTGTACTTGGTACTAAGTAGTTATCTGAATTTGCTAGCTTAAAAATTGAATCTTTATCAACATCCTCCTAGCTGAGACACAAAAATCTCTTCGCAATTTCTATATAACCAGGATGTCGATGTGCAAATCTATAAAAATGATGTTCATAAAACCATTCCATATTTTTAGTAACAAAATAAAAAACCTGAACTGAATTATATACTTTAGTTCTTGCAAAGATAATATCTTTAAGCAAACCAAAGCCGCGTTCAATATAGTTATTTGTATAGTTACTACGTAACAATAAATTTAATCAAAAATAATGGGCCTAATATTGCCATCGGTTTCAAAAACGTTCAAAATGTTTTGCAAGCAATGGATACAGCTGATAATAATTATTCTTTAATTCTTGATAATTATTATTTATATTATTTTTTGTATAAGAATATAAATTTTTTTTCATTTGGTTCATTATAAGTATTCGATATTCTTGATTAATACTATGTTTTGAGTTGTAGAGCCAATGCCAGAATGCCTGCAACATATGGAATATACATAAAAGTAAATTAGATTGTGGCCAACAAAGTTTTAACGCATTTCTTTCTGAGGCTAAATCGTCAGTTAAAATATTTTGAGGCCCAATATCACGTCCACAACCAAAAAATACATATTTGGGAAGAATTAATTTTAAAAGATTAATTGCATTTTCGATTGTCATTTCAAGTTTGTCAGATATAATTAATAGTCCCAACAGCAATACACCTGCTATACAACTCGTATACAAGAGTGTTATTGATGTATTTAGTAGTTCAAATGATGCAGAAGCATCTATATAACAAATTTTACTAGCTTCACGAATTTTCTTATGCACTCTACTCATTAACTCGTTAACAATATATAATATAAATACTTTTTCTATCCACAAGTTATATTCTTAAAGAATTGCTCGACCATGACCTAATGCATTATAATTTGAAACTGCGTCATTCAAACGTTGAAACATCGATATACCGTTTTGTTCACCAAGCTAAGAATTATGATAATGTTCAAAAAGATGCATGACATATTTATCCCTTAATTGGTAAAGATTTGCAGACAAATTTGGCTGCATAATTACTATAAATATGTCTCTGATCTACTTTTTTAATTATTTAAAAT